GCTCATGAAAACCAAGTAAATGCTTGCCTGGAATTAGGACTTCTCTCCCTTTTTACTGTTTTCTTTTAACATTTATGTGTAACAGAAAGTGTCTTCCACAATTTCCCTGATACAGTAAAGATATAGTTTCATCTACCTTTATCAGTAATTAAGTGCTTTATTTAGACCTTCTCATTTATGTTTCCTGGCTAGGTCCCACCCATGTAGCTTTGTCCAGAACAGTTGACTGGGACTGAGCATCTGTAAAAACCTGGCTTTGAAAACGATGCAAGGAAAATATTTTGGAATGGCCTCTAAACAACAAAGGATGTGGCAACAATGTGTTTCATCCTTGTGAACTCAGCTGGCTTGGTGGGGTGTATTTGACTGTGTGGTTGTCATTTCATAGAAAGAACAGCCCTCAGTGGTCACAGCTCTTAGTGCTCACTGTTGTTATAAAAGTTGTCATTAAACTGGGATATGTGCTGTAGATTTCTGGGAATGTTCAACTGATTTATTGACACTGTTGCTCTTATCCCTGTGTTCTTGCTCTGACTTTCTTTCTCTTTTTCCTTTTATCTTTTTTTTTTTTTTTCTCTTTTCCCCTTCTCTTACTTGCTTTGCTTTGTGTCTTTTTCTTTCAAGAATATTTGTAGGAGGTAGAGACGTACTAGAGCTGATTATCAGCAGATCTGTGATTCTGCAGCACTGAAGGTTAATCCAAAATCCAGTGGTTATCCCGATTAACTGAACCGTATTCCGTAGCTCTTGGGCCCCTTACAGGCTCTAGAGGAAGGAAATTTGCTTCCAAGCCATATACAGCATTGCTTGGCAATGCATTTCAGCCCTGTATAGCACAGGATGGGCTAGGTATATGCCCACTGCTGAATTTTTCTGTGATGGTAGGCTCCTTGGTGACTCTTTCTCTGGGAATCATAAGGTAGATGTGCTCTTTGTTCAAACTGTTGCAATTATTCATTACAGTTGCTCTGTATACAGAGGAAATGGGGAAGATTTAGCTTTGAATAGTAGCTAGGGATAGCTACTAAGTCTTAAAAGGTGTAGAGATTCAATTCAATTTTAGCCAACATTCAGATGCATGGAAATTATCCTAATTGTCTCTTATCTGCTTTTATAAAGACTTTTTAACTATATTGTCAATATTTGCCTGATTCAGGTTTCCTTGGATTCATTTTGGTACTGGTTTTCTTCAAAGGTTTGGGAGAAGAGAGGAATATTGCTAAAAGACTTTCTTGGCAGCAGCTTCCCCTTCTAACCAAGGAGCAGTGTGCTTGAATATCATTTTGAAAATAATGCTCAAGAAATTTCCAAATGATTGTATTATTTGGAATAGAGTTTTTCCAATAAGTTTGGAGATAATGTTAAGTAGCCGGGTTGGATGGGGCCCTGAGCAACCTGGTCTAGTGCAAGGTGTCCCTGTCAATGACAGGGGGACTAGAACTAGATGATCTTTGAGGTCTGTTCCACCACTACTATTCTATGATTCTGTGACGATTCTCTGATCAGCACCTCAAGGTCTATTCAGACAAATAGCTGTTTTGAAAAGAATTGTTCTTGATTTTGAAATCTGTTGAGATTTAACTCTCAGAGGAGTGCAAAAGGAAAGCACTGCCCTATAGTAGCCAGTAGCCACTTCAATGCAAGTTCAGGTCCTGGGCATGTTTTAAGTAAATGAGGTATTGCAGTCTCCTGTATCTGAGCACACACAGTGCAATGATTTTTAAGCCATTGACCATTCTGAGTTCTTTATCAGTTGGATAAGATTTCTGTTTTGTTCTTAGATGTTTTTTCCTAAGAAATGTCTTACTGATGTACTCAAGTTGCCCATCAGAAGTTTTAACTTGGATGAATCAAAATCTCAAAATAATCTTAAAGTGAAAAATGTGTTTTTCTTGAATTTTCTATCTCCCTCTAGTGCAAATATCTCAGCTGTGAGGCAGTTGTGAATTTGCATTATATCAGAAACGTGGCTTATCAGTGTTCTGACACCCTGTGTTGTGTGTGATTCATAGGATGTAGAAGTGAAAAGGTGAAACCTGCATCAGTAGAGGCAATTCAATGGAGAGTAGAACTTAGGTATGGTTTTTCTTATTTACAGAGAAGGTTTGGATGTCTTGGAAAATATCTAAAATATTCCAAGAAAATTGGTACAGTGATCCTCCAAGGAAAGGAGGTAATCTTTATTGATAATGGCATTATAGTTTTTATTCCAGCACAGTGACTGCAGTGCATAGCAGAGAGTCTGATAATGGGATCCTGTTGCAAATTGGGAACTGCCTCTTAAACTGGATGGATAGAAAACACACAATTAAAGCTCTCACTTAGTGGTTTTACATATGGTTTGTGCCTGTCTGTCTGTGCTCTCAGGTGACTCAAGGACCAAGTGCAAATATGAGTGGAGGTGTCAGTGAGAAGTGAACCGTACTGTATTGCTCATCCCTGAAATCTTGAAACTGGCCTTTTATTTTTGTCTAAGTCTGTCACTGAAAGCAGGGGCTAATAAGCAGCACTTGGAAGGGTTGTGCGGGCGTACGACAGCCCTCTGAAGGCTCGCTTCTACCAGGAGACAAAAGGAGGCGCAGCCCGGGAGCTCACTTCCCTCAAAAACAAGGACTCAGGAGCTTAGAAGTCACAGCATCCCTTGTGCTGCTCCAGGCACTGAGTTATGATTTGCAGGCTTTTTAATGAATAGTGCTTGCTGACTAGTTCTAGCTTGTTTAGGGGTTTTATTCTTCTCCTGAGTGTGTTTTTTATTGTTGGTATTACTATCCAAGGGGGTTAGCGCTCTTCAGCATAGCAAGGTAGGACCTTCAGTGCTAAGAAAATGGTCATGTTTGGAAGCATGATTTTCTTTTTCTCCTTAGTTTTGAACTGCTGTTTTGTTTCATCAGAAATTAAGACTGGAATTTAAATTAGATGTGAATGTGTTTGGTAAGAGTTAGAATGAACAAAAATAGTTTGTTAAGTTTAACAATGTGGTTTCACTCATTTGAATGGCTTGTGAAAATAGCCTAGATTTGCTATCTTTGGCTGGAAACATTCTTTTTAAGGTTGGAGTAAGTGCTGATTTATCCAATAGCTTGGTGGTTGAAGCATTTATTTGTGATGCAGAAGATATAGTTAAAATCCCTGTTCTGAGAGGCTTTGCATTGATGTATCCCTACCTTGAATCAGATGCTAAGAGGATTGAATTCAATTTACACCCAGGTCAGGTAAGAAGCTTAACCTAGCTGGTTGCAAAATATCTGGCAACCGACCTACAAAACCTGTTTTTGCACATAGTATCAACACAGAGAGCTGCAGTACTCCTTGAGTCTGTAGCTTTGTGGGTTTTCCAGCAGTACAGCACCTGTATTCTGGGCTCTTTGCTGTCACCATCATCATTGACAAGTACATTCTACAAGCTGACTGGCTTCCCTTTTTCCAGTTTCTTCACTCGAGGACGTGTGCATCAGGTAGCCATGGGTTAATGCAGTATCATGATATCTACCCAGATTCGGTGTTACATTACACCATGATACTCTTACCTACCTGTGTGTCTGGGTTAATGGGAGTATTTGACACCGTGGTTTCTAAGGTGGGCAAGATGTGCAACAGTTGATACTGCCCTGCTTTAGTTATTTATAAATAAATGCATTTATTTAGTTAGTTTCAGTTCAGAGCTTCTTTTCAGCTCTGTACAGGCATACTGATGTAAAGGATTTATTTGAGAAACAAGGACTGGTGGCAAAGAGGATCCTTAAATTCTGACGAGGCTGTGTTTCTTTGAGATCAGAAAAGAATGGATCTTTGTGTTGGTTTTCAAAACACCTTTTCCTTTGATGTGATTACAACAGTCCTTTAGGACTGTGCTTGTGATCTCTTCTGGAACACCAGAATTCCTAGTACTCTCCTAGTGTCTCTGCTTTCTTCAGTCTGATGGGGTGACCTTCACAAGGAAGTTCTCTAGATATGGCAACCTCTCCATCCCTTCAAAAGCAGACAACTGGAGGGAATCAGATGTGAAGCAGTGAGGGAGTTTGCATAATGCAACTCCCAACCTTGGCATTAAAGCACCAAACATGAGTTTCAGATCTGAATCTTTTTTTGGTGTAATGCAGACATCAATAATATTAAGTAGAAAGAGACAAGAGCAATACTTGAAGCATCTGGTTTTTTCTCCTGACTTGAACATATGTCTGCAGTGTGGCTTTGGACAAATTCACTGTGCCTCTGTCCCTGTTTTTTAAAATTGATATAATTCTGCTCTTCTTGACTTGAAGGACATGCTCTATAAAATTTTGGCATTGTTATTTGTTTTTTATTGTTCTGTCTTTTAGCTGTCCGGGGGTTTGTGCTATTCAAGACTGTTTGTGCTGTGATAACAGTAAAAATTTGTGCTGTTTCTGTGTCATATTCTGCTCTCATGTTCCTCTGAACATGAGAGAGAGAACTGGGATACGGTAAGGTGCACGAGGGAAGAAATGCACAGAGGAGAAAAGGGCAGCATTTCACATGCTGATATTTTGGCATCCAGGGGAAGATGTCAAACACCTCCAGGTGGTCAGTGGCCATGGAGTGCCAGTAGGTATGTTGGAGATGCCACTGTGATTGCTCTCCTGATAGAGAGCTGGATCACCTGCATCTGTCATCTCAGCCTTACTGCTGGTTCAGCCGCTGACACCTTCTGCCTTCCTATTGGTTTGCAAGTCAATCTGAGTAGGCAGCTCAAATGGGCCATATTTCTTGTATGGAAAGCACAGAGACCACAGCCTCTTCGTGTCCCCAAACGACTCCTCCCTCAAACATTTTCTCACCTCTTCATTATAAACCTATTTACTTTATCTAGGTAGCTTTGTTTATTTATTTTTTTTTTTTACTGGTGGTTTCTAATTATGATATTTTGGGATCACCAAATGTGCGTTTTCACCATCATTAGTGGCTTCTTCTCATGTCATTTTTTTCATGTTCAGGGACTAGCAACCAGATTGCAAAATAATGAGCTACCTTGTGTATTTCAGAAACATACCCCTCGCAATATGCATTTCAATGATTATCGTCACAGTTGGCTATGTGTTAACAAACGTGGCTTATTTCACTACAATCAGTGCTGGGGAATTGCTGCTTTCAAAAGCTGTAGCAGTGGTAAGTTACAGAAGAAAAATACAAAGCTGTATCCCTGCTGCAGTTGTGTTTGTTGATATATTCTTATCTTTCAGGGGAAAAAAACTGGGTGGACACATCCAATGAGGTTTTTGTGTGGCACCACTTATTACCATCCTGATGAAATAAGTCTGGTTTTTGACTGATGGCTGGGATTGCATTTAAGGCCATCGACAGCATTTATAATGTAACATTGGACTATATTTATTTAACTCTTATAATAAAGTCAGCAGGACTTAAATTTTATAGACGAGTACATGCTTGAAAAGTTCAGTGCTAAATTGTAAGCTTGGCTCCTGGGAAGTGGGAATCACAGATATTTGTGGAAGTGGGAGCTCTGAACTATCTTGTGTAGCAAGAGACAGTCACGCTGTCTCTGCACAATACGTGTCCTGAGTATTTAGGAAGGGGGTTGCTGTGAATATGGGAGTTCATTTGGGAAGGAGTTACAAGGCAACCTGGCTAGGCAGTACTGCTTTGGTTGTTCTTTATGAATTGTGGCGATGATACCGATTTTTATATTTATGGTATCTGAGTCACAATGAGGAAATAAAAAAAATTCCATTTCCTTTCCAGTAGTTGACACTGCCTGTGGCTATTTTGATTGATGTGGCTTTTGAAAAATGGCCAAATTCTGTAGCTAATGGGAGATTTAGAAAGAAAACATTTTCTAAACATGAAGAAAATTGTGCGTGTCTCCTGTGGTGTCCCAAACTCCAGTTAAGGCTCTTCTACTAATGAATTGATGGACTATACCACTGGGTAGCATCAGCTGAGTACAATGAAGGCTGTAGAAAAACAAAAATTAGGTATGCAGATCAGACCTTGATCCATTCAGACTGGGTCTTCTTTGAGTTATAAGGGTCTAAAAAGACGTAAGTTAGGGCCTGATTCCAGCTCCTCAGCGTTGCTTCGCCCAGTGATCTTCCAGACACCGTCAAGAAGTAAGGGTGGGAGAGCTCAGCTGGTGACACAAAAGAAGAGGCAACAGCACAGCTTTCAGTGAGGCAGTGCAGAAAAGGAGTATAACTAACACCATTAATAATTTAATTTGCTAATATAGTACAATTACTTTTCTGTTTTATGAAAAATCACTGTATGTTTCTCTCTCCTCTGACAGACCTTTGCTGAACGGCTAATGGGAAACTTTTCTTTAGCTGTACCAGTATTTGTTGCTCTCTCCTGTTTTGGATCTATGAATGGTGGTATTTTTGCGGTCTCCAGGTGAGCATTGCTGATATTCCTGGGGATGAGGGCTTGGGATACACACAAGAAAGAAAGCAAGGGGAAGGGGGAATAGGGTTCATTCCTTTGGCAGGATATGCAAGATGACTTCATTGCTTACTAGGTGTGGGGTTTTTTCTCATTTTGTTCCAGTTGACTTTAGTGTATTTTTGTTAAAATCCTTTGACTGGTTTGGAAATGAATCGCTCTGAGGATACCCCTTAATTAATGGCTGATTTTTTACTTGTGAAGGAGGGAAACTGGAGGAAAATATGAACTAATTCCAAACGCCAGTCAAGGGACACATTCAGAGATCACTTTGATTTCTGTATATGGGTTTCTCCTGGTAGTGTTTTCATTCAGAATACCTCAAACAAGACCAAGAAGTGCTTCTGTGCTCTGTGACTTTCATGAGCCACTTCGCGTAGTCACAGTAATGAGCACATTTAAAGTCTGTCCACATTTATTTCCCACCAGGATGTTCTTCGTTGCATCCCGTGAGGGTCACCTTCCGGAAATTCTCTCCATGATTCATGTCCGCAAGCACACTCCTCTGCCAGCTGTCATTGTTTTGGTAAATCATACAAACAAATATTCCTGCACTAGAATTCATATTACAGACTTGCTCTGGAGAATTCGAACAGAATTTGGGCACTGCATGACTCTCATTTATTAATGTGTACATGGGCTTTTGGGCAGGACAGAGGACAGGGAAGAGGAATGAGAATTGGGTGTTGTTCTTATTCTATCATCTCCTTCTTGCTTTCTTGTCCGAGCACTTGACTGCCTATCCTTGCAACCTAATTCATGTCTTATTGCTCCTTATTTCTAAGGAGCTGCTAGTGATGAGCTGTTTCCTTTTTTTCAGAGAAACAAATTCCAGTTAAACAAACAAAAATGGGTTCAGTTAACTGAAAGTGCAGCTAAATACCAGCATCTGGGAACAACACCCTTAAGGCTCTTTTTACTACCTTGTAGTGAAAAATGCAAACAATTATGTACTAAGATAATGGAGGGGGAACTCTCAGCAGTGCAGTGTAGTGGTGATTAAAAAATGAGAGAACATGTGCCTGGGAAATAGTCTGTGAATTGTCTCAGGAAAACTACTGGTGTTTTAGTGGAAATCCTAATACTGATTTCTAAAACAGCAGCAGAGGTAAATGTTGGCTGTGTGTTTGCATTGCAGACTAATTTGTATGGTAAAATGTTAGGACTAAATGTCAAAATACCAACCTCAAAGTTCAGTTTGAGTAGTGCCAGGAAGATTTTCACTTATCATGCAGTTTTCATAAGCCTGGATGTTTAGTCCCTCTTTTGGGTTCAGTGACTGTAATGAATCTGGATAGACCTCTGCCCCTTTAGGAAGTTCCAGCCACAGCAAAAGATGCATCTATGAATTCATGCTAGTAAGATCATATGCTTATACTGGGAGTTTAAATCATATTTTGCCTATAAGCTCACTTCTGAAGTATCAGCTGAAGTGTTGAATTTTATATGTGCCCATACAACCATAGCCTTCCAAATTTTGAAAATTAGGCAATATGATTATGGTGAAAAGTTTTAATGAAATTCATTTTCCATAAGTGTTCAGTTTGCATTTTATTTCTTTAGGTGAAGTAGTTACACCTTTTGGGTAAAAAACTCTGACTGTTTTCTGTGGAATGAAATGCTCTAATGTATTAATATATGATTTTTTTTTTTTTTCTGAGAGACATTTTCTGGTATTGTGTATGGTCCTGTTTCACTAGTGTATTGATTTCCTTTGAAAAAGTCAGATTTTCATATGAAGAGGGCTTTCCTTCAAAAATTTCTATTTTTTATCTTGCCTTGTTGCAAATAGAGCAGTTGCAGGACATATTCTGCATCAGTAGTCTTCTAGCATTTCCCTATTTAATTTTTCCTGCCAAGGTCTACACACTGTAAGAAAGGAAAGAGCTCTTGAGGGTAAACTGAGAAAGTGAGCATGTGTTTCAGGCTTGTTAAATAAAACACCCCACATTTTTAGGAATTAAGAAATCTGTTAATGTACGTATGTTGTTGTTAAAAAAACTTCCCAGTTTGACCATTCACGGGACTCTCTGGCAGTCACACTCCACACCAGAGACTTTAACTGCTGGAACCGAAGTCCACTCAGTCAGAACAGGGATCGATCCCAGGTTTCCCGTAGCAGAGTCTCAGATGTCTCATTCTGTAAAGCCATTCACGGCGCAGCAGCACAGAAATAGCTCGAGCTGGTGCCTCCGAGGAGGACTCCAACAAAGGAACCCCCTCACAGTCAACTCCCTTCCTTCCGAGTCTTCCGTTCCTGCCCCCCTCTCCGAGTTCATCCACTTCACTGGCGTCCCCCGTCTTCATCTCCTTTGTTATCCAGAAGGTCGACAGTTCCTGGCTCCTGCTGAGTCTCACAGTGTTCATTCACCTGGCCGGCATCACCCCTCTTCGTGCCCTTTGTTATCCCAAAAGTTGGCAATTCACGGCCTCTTGTCTCGGACTCCCACCCGGAGCTCAATCTGCATTTCAATCTGCATCTCAACCCGCGTCTTGCAAACCGAGCTACCTGGACCAAACGTATTCCTCAGCAATGCCCTGGTGTCCGATAGACGTGTGTGTAGCAACTCCAAGAAGTCATGCAGTCTGATTGTAAACGTACTTTATTATATTTTTTTATTGGTAGCTCTCCTTCACTTACTTTATCATTAAAACTTGCATTATAATTATAACTGAGATTTTAAACTTTTAGGGGCTGAGTCTATAGAGAAGAAATCTTGCCCAATATAATTCAGTGGTAAAATTTCCTTTGACATTTACATAGAAGCAGTTTGCTTAATGTCTGTGTGTAAAGAACCAAGTACTTTATAAGTCGTTAGAGGTTGGAAGCCAGAGACCCACATTTGAAATATTGATTCTTCTGGTTCAAATCTATGTTGTCTTCACTTCTTTGAAAACAGGAAAGAGAGAGAGGCTGTGAATCTAGATAATTAATACAAATTAATTTTCCTTATGTGAAGATTAAGCCCAGTGTTTTACTGCATCTGCAGTTGATTTCACCTGTTGCCTTGTTATAAACCTAAATGCTCTCCCTGTGGGCATCTTCCCTCTTGCTGAAGAATAAGGGCTGTGGGGATTTTGACTCATTCCTTCATCCCCAAATGCAAGGACATTTTTTTGTCCAGATATTACTTTGAAATAGATTCTAGTAGGCTACACTAATCTCCTAACTCAAGACACATCTCTCATTCTCTCATTTATACATAAGCTTTTGCCTGCCTCACAGAAGCCTTGTATCTTAGAACAGCTTTCTAATGAGAAAACTTATTTATTCTGGTGTCCCTCTCCTTGTTCTTCAGTTGCTGCCTGAGTGACAGCTAAATGCTTCTTTCTGCTTAGAAATGTTTGCATTTAAAATGTGTAAAAAGTCACCTTTTTCCTTCCACAAAACACCTACAAACCTCTGCTTTCATATGATCATATGTGACCAGAATTTAACTGCTCTTATTTGCATTGGTGATGAGCGAATAAAGCTGCAGTGGGCTAATACACTTGTCAGGTCCCATGAGAATGCTGCCCAGGATGCTCAAGCATTTTGGTGATGCAGTGGGCTGTGTGCCTGTGTATTTGTCTGGGTCACAGGGGACACATTTGTATTGACCATGTGTGGCCACCCAGGACAGATATATATTGATTGAACGTGGTCTCAGGGGACAGCTGAGCATCGATTGCACGACTAAGGCAAGCCTGAAGTCTGTGGCACTCAGGTGTGTGCATAAGGCTGTGCTGCTTGTCCCTGTGGAAAAATTTGACATCACTGCTGTAAAATAATAGAGATTGATCTACTAAACCCCTCTTATTTCTTTTTCAGCATCCTCTCACAATGATAATGTTATTCAACGGGGATCTCTACAGCCTCCTGAATTTCCTCAGTTTTGCCAGGTGGCTTTTTATTGGACTAGTAGTTGCTGGGTTGATTTATCTCAGATATAAACGTCCTGATATGCCTCGTCCTTTCAAGGTAACCTCTGCTCTCTACTGTTTTACATGAATCCTTCTCCCTCCTCTCTATCCTGTAGTCACACAGCAAAGGAGCAATTTGTGATGTAGCAAGCTAACCTCTGTTTCGAGAAAAGCAGAGTTAAGGGAAAATAGTCTTGCACTGTAGGCTCTCTGAGTGTTTTCCTGCAAGCTCCCGAGCTAAAGGCTTGAATAATTCTGCTACCAAAATTCACGTCGAGCATAGAACATTTATGTCAATGCCTATCCAAAATCAAATATGCCAATTTTCTGTGCAAATAAGTGGTTAGTGCTGTTATTATAATTTTTGAGACTGGCAGTGGATTTGCAGACACAGTGATTGTGAACCCAGAAAGAAAATACTAAATAGTCCAGCCCATTGAACTGTAGCTGTTTTGGCCTTGATTCTGCCATTCTTCTTATTTATTTTAAGTGCTATCTTAAAAAGTTAAGTTGTCCCATTTTGTACCCATAGAGATAACATCCATCATCATAAAAATGGAGGAATATATTTCTATTTAGATGCTGCCAAGAAGTCTGTTTTGTGAAGAACTAAGAATGTGCGCTGTTACATTCTTATAGATATATCTGTAAATAAGGAGGTCAGTGACACAACACGTTTTGCTTTGATTAAAAGAAAAAATGCTTTGACAGTGCACAAAGGAGGAACAGTAATGCTTTGAGGCATGAAAGGAAGAGAACAATCTCCAAGGAATTCTCCAGTTCTCCATTACACTCATAAGCCATGCCTGTAGGCGGTTCCTTCAGAGAGGTGCTAACAGAGGGATTGTAATGGTGTTCTTGAAAATTGAGTAAATACATTTGATATTGTTACTCTGTGTGCTTTCAACAGTTATGCTGATAATACTATCAGTCATACAGTCAGAAAGGGCTTTTTCAGTGTCTATCTGTTACATAACACTATCAAATATCTTTATCCTAGTCAAATTGGTGTTTAATTTGCTCCCTTCCTGCTAGATTTTGATTTTTACCTTAGGAAGAAAATCAATATGTTCTTAATAGTTTTAAAAGGTGACTTGAGCTCCTGGTTGTGTTTTAAAACGTTTTCTAATGGGTAATTATCAAAGTGGAAATCTTTACTGTGGTTAGAGCTGCTTACTTATCTGCTGGGGGATTAGAGAAAGGACTTTTACAATGTAACTTATTTACAGTCCTTACGTTTTAAGGGGTGTAAAACACTGAGGTGTTTTAGAGCGTAATTTAGAGACTTCTGTGGTACTCACCTCACAGCACTCTGCAGGGCTTGGCTTCTGCAGTCACTGGCATTTTGTGTGCCTGTTCTAGATACCCATATCTCTCCAGAACTGTCCTGTTGTGCTGGGCTTCATCCAGTTTACATTTCATGGAACATTAAATGCCTTAGTCATTACTTTACATTGACCCTGTTATTTAATGGTTCTTCGTGTGGTTATGTTTCAGGTTCCTCTATTTATTCCAGCATTGTTTTCCTTCACCTGTCTCTTCATGGTTGCACTGTCACTTTACTCTGACCCGGTGAACACAGGGATTGGATTTGCAATAACCCTGACTGGCATTCCTGCCTACTACCTCTTTATTGTATGGGACAACAAACCAAAGTGGTTCAGAAAGCTCCTAGGTAAGTCCTGGTGGGACTCCCCTCCTTCATGCTGACTCCAGGAGTTTCTCAGGGCTCTCCCTGTGTTGTGAAATCCTTCTGGTCAATCCTCTCAGCTACCTGAGCTGGGATGACAACACAAGTTTCTATTTGACACATGCTCTAGCATTGCTCTGCCAGTTGCAATCAATGTCTGCTGACTAATGAGCTACATTTACAGCAAGGCTGTTCTTCCCTAGTGATTGATTTGAAATGACTGATGCTTCTCCCACTGTCCTCTTCCTCTCTCCCTCCCTTACTAACATCTGATTCCTTTTAAATCACCCATCACCTTCCCCTGACCGTTGCTCTGTGTAATACAGACAGTTCTACACCTCTTGGAGAATCAGTGTGGAGCCTTGAACACAACAGTTGTGATGATAGGATGGGCTTGGTGCTCCCTGCTGAGACCATGCATCTGTGAACCACTGAAGAGTATTTTAAATGGGGCAGGTTGGTTATGGGGATATTGTCCTTATCAGTGGCTCCTGACAAAATGGTAGCAAAATATAACATGCCTGGAATGCTTCTGTGGAAATTGTTTCTGTGCTTCTTCAAATGACTTCTTTGTGATTTGGCTGTACTATTTCACATCTGAAATGCACTGAGAATAATTTGTATACCATGTCTGAAAGTTTTTGAAAGCATTTGTGGAAGTTCTGATGTGTTAGAGGAGGATTATTTGGAACATTTCAATTAGAAGTCAGTATCATTTGTTATAGCTCCTCATTCTTTTTTTTTTTTTTTTTACTCAGAAGGATAGATTTCCAAAATGAAGGATATTTCAAGAATGCTAGATATTTTATCAAACAAAATGAAAAGAACATCTCTTTTTCTGTAAAACTGTACTGTACTGTAAAACTGTGAAAGTTTCTAACTAAAAATAATTTATTTGTATAGATGCTGAATCAAAAATGCATATTGCCTTCTGTGCTGCAGTCTTAAGTGATGATTTAAAATGAACTGCTCACAAGAAAATAATAGTGTGTTATTACACTATAACCAGTTCTATGTATTTTCTCTATATAAATATGTTACATAGTTGTATCCTATCTGTTGTAGAATCTATGAATTTCCCACTCAATTCATGCTGGGAAGTCTGTAGACAATAGGGCAGAAAGTAGTTACAGAAAAATATGTTAGTTTAAGACTAGCATGCTCTTAATTTTATATCCATAAAGTTATAAATCATTTGCAGTGTCCTGGGAATGGGTAGAAACCTCCAGTGCAAATTAAAGCAATTGTATGCAAAAGGACATTCTATTTAATAGTTGGAGTTTAGTCTGTTAATTTCTCAGTCTTGACATTTAGGGTCTGGGAAATTTTCCCTTATCAAGCCCCAGGAGTTTTTTGGCGTTTTCTGTCGTGTCTCAGAGGTTTTGGAATACAGTTACTTGAATCTTTGGCCACAGGATGCCAGTGTTGGACTACATTACTTGGGTGAGAGAAAAAATATTCTCTTTAAGGTAGACTGGATAGATGTGAAGATTATTCTACCAGCTGTGACAATGAAGGTGAATAATTTCTATCATTTGAGATAACACAAAATTCTCCTTCTAGAAAGGAGGCCTGTTGCCTGTGTCATACTTATGGATGGGCACAGTGTACTGCCTCAGAGGGTAAAGCAGCAGAAGCCAGTCAGTGGGTGAAACAGCTTGTTTGCTTTGCAGTTATTTTCCCCAAAATAACAACAGTAATGACAGAAAACTGATGCTGACAGTTTTGGGGTGAAGCAGAGAGGAGACTTGTTAAATAAAAAGATTTTTTTTTTTCCCTCAGAAGAAGCAATAAACCTTTTGTGTGGAGTCATTAAACTGGCATTATTTTGTGAGTGTTAAGGGTCCCCCATTGCATAGCCTGAGAACATTTTCTAAAGGCATTGAATGAGGATAAATTCACTTAAGGTACCTCTGTGAGATATAGAAAAGTCATTGACCAGCTGCAAGCTTGATATTCTAACCTTGAAACAATATGCATTAGGTGTACATAGGCATGGAAGTGTAATTCCAGACATGAGGTAAAGGACAAAATGAAAAAAATGGAATTGTCATTTAAAAGGTAGCTTTTTGCCAGATTAACTAGGTACCTTCCTTTGAGAAGATAACTAGTTTTTCTAGATGAAGAAGAATGTGAGGCATACAATCTACTTAGATTTCAACAAAGCATTTTGTGTAACACCAGAGAGGGAGAGAGTGGGAGCCTGTTAGTCTGGACATAGCACTGTGCTACCAAGACTGTGCCCAGGTTGCTTCATCTGCCCGGATCAGTGCACGGGCAGGCTGGTGTAGGGCTTTACCCTTTTGCAAAGTCACCTTGTTGAGGAACTGATGGGTTCAGCTGCCCAGCTGTGCTGTGGCAGGAAGAGATGACTGCTCCTCATAAACCCTATATGGAACATGTGCTGTTTAAGCAAAGGTCAACACTGGTGCAAAACCACACGTATACAGACCAGCCCCACATAAGATCAGGCTCAGTATTCTGAATAAGCTTTATAGAGATCAGAGGAGAGGGATGTTGAACAGCCACAATGAGTAGTGGGATAAAATACCCAGCCTGCAGATACATAAATTTCTGAAAGGGGTTTTAGGCCAATTACGCTAGCAGAGCCCCCTGATGGATTACCCAGGGAATCCTCTCCCAAGGTTCAGTGGCTTTGTTCTGTATGTTTTGACTGTCCTTAATGGCATTCTCCTTATGAAATTACTGTATTGAACAAAAGGTGACTTCAGAGTTTGTGGGTTCCTAGGTTCTGGGCTGTATTTTGCTGTGAGAATAACATTTTGTTCTCTCCTTTTCCAAAGAAATTTTGCTGTAGCACCAGATGTGCTGGGACAAATAATTTTCAGCTAGTACAGGCTTCATTTGACCTCTGCTTTCTTGCTTTTTGTAGAACTAATGTGAAAATGAAAAAAGTCAAGCCTAGCAAATCCTACAAAGCAGATCAGTGTGTAAAAGGATGCAGCATCAGCACAAGAATGCTTCTATTTGCACTTCCCGAGTTGAAAATCCAACCTTAGACTCATATTTAAAACATCTATTTCTTTACAGTGGATTGAATTATGGGGAGCTTAAAAGTTGAATCCTATTTTTTTTTTTCATAGGCTGAGCCCTTGCTGGAAATGAGATGTCTTTATATAACAAAATGTCTCTGTCAGGGTTATTTAGCAACACCCGAGGATGAAGCTACCTCACTCAGGACAAAGTGTGATATGCTCAGTTTGCTTCTCTTTGTTGAGTTTCTGATAGGATCCACAGGAAATTATCCTAGAATTTTGTTGTGACAGATTTCATGTCCAGTCTTACGTACATGCATTAAACTCCTGCTTTCTTTCCTCACCCAAACTTTATCTGGTGCCTGTGTAGATACCTGGTCTAGGGTTGTTTTTTTGGTTTTTTTTATGGAAGTGGTCCTGTGATACCTATTTTCAGTGAATTCTTGAAAGGGAAAATTAGGGTTTAAAGTGGAGTGGGGAAGTTGTCTGTACCATCACGGTATGCTAAGTTGTCTTGTGACAAATGTGAAAATAGTCCTGTAACTCCAGGTACTGCTTCGAGAAGACAGTATTGAGATACTGACTGGACACAGATCGGAACATTCTTTAGGGGAAAATACTCTGTATATTGATTTATTCTGAGTACATTGCAACCAAAACGTGCAAAGAAGACCACCAGGTCTGCCAGCTTGTCTGCTCCCCTATGGCTTCATCCCAGCACAGAGCAAAACTGCTGCATGGAAATGGAGGAATGGGCAATGTCTTGCTGCTGGTGGCTCTGTCCACTTTTGTGAACAGGATATTAAAATCACAACTCACTCTAGAGTTGCCCAGGCTTTCCCTCTGTTGCCATGCCCTTTCCCAAGAGCTGTTACACCATCGCTCAGCTTCATAAAATTCTGGTTTTCCCTTTGTTCAGCCTCCAACTTGGAAGAGGTGGGATGGCAGAGGCAAAGCCCTGCTGTTTTCCTGCTGCTGGTTTTCCTCCTGTCTGTCATCCCAGCTCTGATGTGCCCACTGTGGGTAGGGAAGGCAGGTGGGAGGAAAATGAAGTCCCTGGAGACTTTCAGCCCCTCTGACACTATCAGTTTATAGTCTAAGGGCAAGCTGACTTTGCACTGAACTGGTGACATCCAGAGAAAAGAGCAAAGATGGTGGAGTCTGCCTTAGACAGGAGGTCAGAGAAGTGCTTTCAGTTCATATCTTCTGTGAGTTGCACAATTTTACCCTCCTTGCTTTACGCTGCTGTCAGTGTTGACATTTCTGTGTCATACAAGAACAGACAAGGAAAATCAGAACTTTCTTTTACAACAGTTTCTGCTTGTTTAAAATAGGTTACTAAAAAAGAGTGACAAGTGAAAGGAATAGTAAGAGAATGTTCTTTTTACTATTCTGTATGTAAATTAACTGTGCCATTTATGAATCATTACGCTTAAAGGAAAACCAACAAAAGCATTAGAAGGAAATAAATGTCCAGCATGACAAAAAGACAGCATGAAGTTTCTTTGGATGTGTGATATTCTTAGACCTATGAAGCTTTGTAATTATTACTTCCTTTAATTTTCTTCTTCTTTTTTTTTTTTTCTTTTTGCTTAGGCAGGTCTTGCTACAGCTAAATTAACTTGTTTGAACTCTCCCAGATGTTTATTTCAACATAGCAAATTGGTAAAAACTAAGCTGTTGTGAAGAGTAGTCATGTTTTAAGATAGCCTTTAAATGCTTGCAGACATTTATTGAATTAGATTATACATCCGTACCTTTCCATTATTATTGTATATGCATAGCCTAGGATCAGAGGCAAAGAAAACATAGTTAAAAAGAAGAAAAATTTGAATTTAAATGATATATGTATATGTGCAAATAGGTTGTATAGCGGCTAAGATAAGTTTCCTGGCTGCTTCTGCCTGCCCCATCTCCCACACAAAAAAACACCAAACCTCCCATGTATATGCTTTTGTCTTTGCAGACAGGGTAACCAGAACATTGCAAATCCTCCTGGAAGTCATCCCATCAGAGGAAGACCAGAAATCATGATCTTCATGTACAGCTTTTGGCTTGCTGTTTCATTTCAACCTGAAGTCAAGAGAGCAGGGAGATTTATCCCCCTTCCCAACATCCTGCAAACTGGAGGAACAAGTCACAGTTGAGATGGAAACCAAGCAAGTCACTTACCAGAACTGTATTTTACGATGCTGTTGCAAAATATTTTTTAACGTGGTTGGTGTAGAAAGCAAGAACTTGTGTTATGAGGGAACTCATCTCTTCAATATCTCTTTTGTTACAGAGTCCTATTTTAACAAACTCTGGGTTTGTCAAGCTAGGATTTTGGTTGCCTTGTCACTGAAAACAGGTTTAAGTGATGTGTAAGTAATAGTAGGGTCTTCTGTGAAGAATGTATCCTTCTTGCTGTCCCTGGAGGTCCCAACTCTCACCAGAGAAAGGGTGAGATAAGCCTGCTGAGTTTCACGTAATATGTTCTTCCCATCAAACTATTTGGCAGCCTGATTTTACTTCTGTTGGCTTGCTGGAAGCCCCAGCACACTGATGATGAAGCACAGCGGTTTCAACACCTTTGTGGTGGCAAGTTCAAGATTTCTTCATTCCAGAGCTCTTATACTATAGCTGACAGGAATGTCTTTTGAGACTTAATATTTCTGCCCATGGGGCAGGAAGATTTTAGCACGGGAACAGCAATTTTATGCATGTTAAAGTTTTTACCAGTCCGGAGATGATTACTGGTTTTACCAGTGTTTCTTTGTGTACATGTACACAGGAAATCCAGCAACTTGAGTAATCACCTTCAAAAGAGTGAAAACATTTGAATGTGATCTCCGTTGCTGTATGAATATTTCCTATCTGGAAGCATATGGTCCTGCAGTTATCAGTCAGGCAAACCCGATTTAAAAGTTTTGTATCAGCGTTCGTAGGCAGAAATAGATGTCACTGGTGGAATTCGGTATAGACATTGCCATCAATGCAAGGCCATTTTATGAATAAGGTATAAGGCAAGCTACAGCAGATTTGTTGCTTTGAGTAGGATATGCCCCTAATCTGTGGGCTTTTCACTCAAGCACACTCCAGTTAACTGGGTTTTGGAACACTGAGAAACAGGTGCTCTGCCTGCCTTCTCAGGGGTTTTATCTCAGCAGAAACAGAGAAAAGCCATCAAAACTGATAAAATCAAATTAAATTCACCTTCAGAACTGTTTTTGAACTGAGCTCTGGCTCATGTATGAGCTGAAGCCTTTTTTTCAAAGAGTTGTAGATAAAGAAATTTTTTAATCTTAGAAATTCAGTTTTATATTGTTAACGACTACTCAACCTTAAGATTAAGGTTTGTTATCATTCTGTTAAGAATATAATACTTAACTATTGAATGCACTACTTTTTAGCTGTCTGCTGTCAGCAAATCATATGTTTCATGAAAGCTTTTATGGAACTAAGCAGAATTAAACTTCCTAAATGGGGAGAAAAGCACAACTTGTAGCCAGACCACTGCAGTAAAGGGAGACTGTATTGTATATGTGTTGTATATATCCAGAATATCCTCTACTTAAAGGATGTACAGTAATATGTCTTAAATTTATATATGTTTTCCTTTTTTTATATCTTTGTGGTGGAACATCACAGAAGTAGGGAAATGCAAATAATGTAGAAGAGCAGTAATTTAAGACACAGAAAACATTTTGCAAACAATTTTTTCTTTAAATGTTTTCTCTTTTGCAGTAACTTAAAGTGTTATTTGAAACTGTTTTTAGGCAAACATTTTGAGACAGGTTTTTGTGTTGACAGTAGATGTGTTTAATTAGTACTTACGTTTGGGTGAGAATTCTGCCTTTGAGGTCATCTCCTGCCATCCCTGTTCATCAGGGTTTGGCCTGTGTCGTCATGGAACATGAACTCTAATTCTCTCTGAAAGAAATAAACTATCTGGCACCCTTCAGGAGTGCACCTAACCCATTCCTCCACTGATGGATACTGAGTCATGGGATCCAGAGCAAAACCACCTGAAGAGCAACAGCTTGGTGTGAGGTTTTCAACTCTGTTTCATCCCACATATTCATCCCTATTGTGCCACATTACTTGAAAGTTTAAATGTGAGCAGTGTTAACTTGTAGAAATAAAGGGGCTCCATAAATATGACTGAATGTTGCTATATTTTCCCATCGTGGTCTTTAAAGTTTAGAAATGTTTCTGAAGCCTGATTCAATAAACACATTTTTGCTGGGTTTATTTCATGGAAGGGGTTAATTTGTCCCAAGGGATGTCCTATGTCTCATTGACTGTGAAGTTGTATATTTTAGGAAGAAAGAAAAAAACCTGGAAAATAAAAACCTATTTTCTTGAAAGTGCACAGGGATTCTAATTTCAGGTTAATTTCTTTAGTACATGTAATCACAATATAAAATAATGTAATTTGGTTTCCACTGTATTATGAAAGTCTGTATTAAGGACTTTTATTACACCTGCAATCATATCCTCACAAATGGAGGAAAACCAGGTTACAATATTTTTTTTTTCCAAGCATCAAGTTATTTTTTAAGACTTTTAAATATTTGCTTCAGAGTCATAAAGAAATTCTTCTAGAATAAAGGATACATTTTATATATAATATTTCTTATTAAGGCCTGAGGTGGTCAGGCCAATGAGACTATTTTTGTGGAGAACTTCAGTGATCCTTAATTTTTTTTTTCTTACCCTACCTATATATAAATATAACACATTTTCTGAATGTGTGTGCTCCTTCTATTTGATTTTCAGAGAAAAATCAGCCTTCAATTTAGGAAAGTTTTTCAAATATTATTCTACAGAAGAAGATAGAAGTTACCTGTATCCACATGATGGGTTGTGCTGATTGTGTCGATGCAACAAGATGAAAAGGCTTTTCCATTATGCTCAGTACCTCCAGAATTTTTGATTCAAGCATTAGCCATATATCAGGATCCAGACAGATTTTAATCAGCATAGGTCTTAGAGAAATGAGTGTTGATCTTTTTTCAGGAGGAATTAGGTGTTTCATTTTTCCAACATACCTATGAAATACTGTGTTTAATGGCCTGAAGAGCACAGATGGCTTGGACAGCAGAGCACGGAGCAGGTAACACATTGGAATCCAGTGTGTAAAGTGTGTGCATGTCTGGGAAGGATACAAATGACAAAGTTTGAACCAAGGAAGGAATGGTCAAGAGGAAGGACAATGTGTGATAACTCCTGCTTGGTTACTGGGCTGCTACCTGAACCTGGGTGCTCTTCTGCAGCGACTGCAGTGTCTGTGCAGCTTCTGGCACAGGGAAGGCCAGTAACAAATGCCAGTTTGGGAACATCTTTGGAACTTCAGACATTTGAACTGGATTGTACTCTTAAACTTGCACTCTATACATAGTCTGTGCAGGTGGTTTTTGTGCAAGTGAGGACAACCATCCTAAAAAAGTACACTTGTGCCCATGCTGGCTCTCCCCTTGGCAGAATAAGTCTCAGGGAAGGCTGGTAGTGCCAAAGGGAGATGGTAGGTTGAGATATCCCTGTGCCCAGTTAGGTGTTCTTTTCTGTGGAAGACATCAGTTGCATTGGGTTTTTCCCTCTTGAACATCCTCCTGCATTCTTTGAACCTGTCCTCTGTGGTGATGAGTCTGGAGTAACGGAGGGAAGCCTCCTTGCTTTAAACATGAACTGGGGATTCGTTGAGACTTGGCAAACCGATGAAGTATTCTGCTTGCCTTCAGAAGACTGTATAGTTTTCTTGCATGTTAGTTCATGTTTAATTTGTTTTCTTTTGTCTTTTTGCCAAGGAGCTGTTGGGGAGCATGTCAACAGTTGACACCAATTCTGTTTACATGTGCTTTCTTGTTTTGTTTTTATTGAAAGAAACTTTTGAAAAATTTTTTTTCCTTGAAGTGCAAAGACCCGAGTGGATAAAACACCTTTTCCAACAAAGGCTTGACTTTATCAAGAGAGAGTTTGGATCCTATTTTACATTCCCTGTAGCAAGAATGTCTACAGTGTTGTGATCTAAACCAAAGCTTTGGTATTTTCTAAATACCATATTGATGATGATCCAACATGGTTATAAAAATGCTGTAGCTGCAGTGAGTTTTATGCTTCTGTAGCTCATTCTCTCTTCCCAGGGCAAGCTACAAAACTTTTCTGCTGCTAAGCTTTTTCTACAGGCCATTTTTGGATCCTGGGAATTCACCTACATCTTTGAAAAGGGAATGCCACCCCTTCCTTGGTGGTGCACCCCAGCACCTAGAGTTGTATGTTCCTAAGTGACTGTAGCTGCAGACTAGTGCATTGCTGAGCACTTGTTCAGGGAAAGTTGGAGTCCTCGGTTTTAAAAAGTAGCTGGCTTTTGCGATCTCCTCTCGTACTTACAATGTTATGTAAAACTGTTACCTAGAAATTTTGGTGGATTTTTTTTCTTAACTTTTTTTTTTTTTGTGTGTGTGTGGTTTTTTTTTTTCTCCTCCCCTCCCTGTTAATTATGAGAAGTTAAATGTTACAGGATCTTTTTCTAAATTTACCCTGTGCCTTTGGCTCTGCCTAGAGAAAGCCATTCAATGCAGTTTCAGCTGCCAATATCTCTTTGCCACTCAGTCATTACAGAGTAATTGGATCTAAAGTACATGTACAATTAGCTGCTAGTAATGCTGACTTGTCTTAATTATGACTTTCAGCTGATTTCTAAGGATACTAATCAATGAATATGCATAGCATAGCATAGCAGTCAGACTGGTAAAAATTGATTAATCTTCCTGAGAACCTAAACTTTCATGGTACCTACATAACAAGCTGTTTAAAAGCATCAGGGCAGGATCTCTGGCTTAAAGTGGATTGAGGCTTTCAGAAGGGCTTGTGACACAGCCCAGGTCACAATGTGTGCAAAGTCTGAGATGTTTTAGACTGTATATATGTGTGGCAGAAAATGAGGAAAATCTTAGAGGTATAAACATGACCTCCTAGGCAGATGATTGTTCTTTCCATTTCCTCAGTGCTTTCTCCTACATTCACCTGGCTGAAGACTAGAAATAAATTTTCACTGAAAGCATCGCCTTTCAGTGTCTCCTTCGCAAGCCAGCTTTTTGAGGCATCTGTATTTAATTTTAAGCTGGGTGTTCGTCTTGCCCATCTGCTTGAGATTTTTTTAGGCCTCATATTTTTCCTCATCTGAAAACTCTCATGTGAGGGACTAGAGAAAATGATTACTGGCTCAAAAACTGTGTGTGTGGAGGGGGGTAGGTCAAGCGCAGTGTAGGTGGGATGGTGCTCCGCAACCCCTGGCCCTGGAGTGAAAACAGTTTGGTTTTTAGCCTCCTGAGAACATTGTCGTGTTCTCCCTTGTGCTCATCTCAGAGAATGGAAGTACCTAAACCCCCTTTAAGAAACTGGCTAAGTGAGCTCAGAGCTTTACTCTGCTCACTGCACCAAACTTTATAAAATAAACAGTACTTTAAAAAAGTAACACAATCACAAGTTAGGGTCACATAACGCTCTAAACCCGTTCCAAGCCGCTCCTCCCTTACCAGCTCATACAGTTTTTGTTTGCATATTGGGGCTGGAGGATCTTAAAGCTTATCAGGGCAAATAGTCGAGCTCCTCTTGGGTATCCAGGATGTGCTGTGGCTTTTTAAGAGAACCCTTGCACTCCAATGCCCCATGGAAAATCCTGACATAGCCAACTTGGTGTTAGAAAATTTGGGCATGTGACTTCCCCTGCTTGAGGTTATGAAAACTCGGGGGGGATGCTGAGAGATTTGGACACTATGTGCACAACAGTGAATTTTATGATTAGCCATCTGTGTATACCGAATTACCTACGTATTTTCAATTACCAATAGCGTCATTTAAAAATATGTGTTATCCATTTCTAGGGGGACATTTCAGATTTCCTGAGTTTCTTTCTTTTTCAATATTCTTTTTTTTTTCCCCTTTTTCTCTTTTTTTTTTTTTTTTTTTGAGCATTACATTCAGGACAGTTCCCTCAGGTGTTCTACTTGAAGGCAGGGGCAGGCAAAGAAGCTTTTAAGGGAATTCTCTCTGTATTTTCACTTGACATACTGCACAGTGCAATTCAATATTCATAAATTACTTTTGGCTGCTGTTAGTATTTCACATCTCTGTTTGCTAATTCATGTGCCAGATATATTTAAAATAAATCATTAAATGCCAGGGGATTTGATGCTTGTTCCACATGCAACAACTCACTATTGAAGAAAACTCCAGTACTTTGTATTGATGCTAAACTCTAGCTACCTTTGATTTTATAATAAATATATGAGTCAGAGGCAGGATAAATCAGAGTCTGTACTGTCAGGTTGACAGAGATGATTGATCATACCTTTATGAAGGCTCTGCATTTGACTGCAAGTCTCATGCAGCCCCAGAGATCATACAAAGGCAGCTGTATGATGAAAAGCAGGCTAGTTTAGAAGACAGCATACGGTGCTGCACCAGTGTCATATTTATCTAGTGGCATGTGTATGCTGAAACGCTTCAGTTTGTAGCTCATGGCAATAATTATCTCTTGTGTTGAATCGATCATGACCCATTTTTATTCCTTTACCCATATTTTAAACAAAAATTGTTTTCAAAATCCTTTCCAAAATGGAAATGTAAAACCTTTATCTAAAGCAGACACATGCGGGTAATAAAATACCTCATCTCTGCACTCACTCAGAGTTACTGTTTTTAGAAATGAAATCATATGTTAGTCAAAAGGTTAGGTGGTCACCCAAACACTCCCCTTCTTCCTGCTTAGAAAAAACCTGTTTACTCTGGTATGAGGACCACTTTAGTCCTACAGATTTGGGTTTGATATGTTGCTGTTTGGCTCTTGGTAATGGATGTTTGCACCTTGAATACTGGTGCAAATGTTTGGGCTTGAGTATTGAATATTGGTCTGAAACCAAGCAAGTTACTTGGGCAGAGGGGGCAAGGGACAGTAGCATCTGGCTCCTTCCCTGTCCTGGCCTTGTTGGTGAGGGGTTTGTGTAGCCATTGGAAAAGTGGGACTTGTTTGGAAGCTGCACTCATGGGGAAATTGAATTTCATTTGTGTTATGAATGTGCCCACATATAAACCACAGACTCGTGCAGTATGATGTGCTGGGTTTTTTCCTCACAATTTTTCCAAGATGTTATTTGAGATGTATTTATGTTTGACTTGTGTGGCTTTAATTTGGCTTTCTTTTCTCTTATACCTGTGGTTTTCTGTACATACATATACATGTATGTATGTATGATTTAGGGCTAGTGATGAAGAGGTGCATTCCTGTGCTGCAAGTTAAAGAAAATCGATGAAGTATTATTTAATGCACGTCAACTCAATTTTTAATGCTATTTCTAAAGTGAATTGCAGCAAGCACATAACCATCCACCATGGAATAATAAATTGATATAGAATGTGTGGAGAAAAGGCTATGTGCCAGAATCATTAGGAAGCTCGGTTCCCCACTCCAGCAACACAAAGCAGTCGTAAAGCTGAGGTTGGAATTACACACAGCAAATGATGTACACCAGTAAATCTGGCCCTGGTAATTTTATTGCAAATGACATACAAGCCAGAAAAAGCATCTAGATAATTGAAATTAACACTTTTAACAATGATCTATTAAAGCAGTGAATAATAATTAAGAGGTTCTTTGAAACTCTCTGTAATAAATCTATAGTATTTCAAAATCTATTTTTCTCCGATATAAATGAGATAAAATAAGATAGACCCTCTTTTCCTTTAAGCATGGAACATCTTTTTTATCAGGTATCATAACAGCCCCTAGTTTGCCAAACACTACAACTGTGCATGGACTGAAGGCTTGTTATTTTGGTCTTGGAACAAAGCTAGGTAGAAATGGAAAAGATAATAAAAGGGAGCTACTGGAAAAACATAAAACAGATTTTTCTTTTCTTTCTTTTTTCTTTTTTGATTGATGCAAATCTGCACCTGTGTTTACTCACATCAAAGTGACTGAGCATAGTGGGCCATGAGAACATAGCCCTTGGGTAAGTAGAAAGGTTGCTGCAAACTATGAAGTCCTTTGGAGTCATTGTAACCACTAGTGTAAGGTTTTGGGTAGTCTTCTGATACTGATACTCTAAGAAAGAAAAAGTTTTCCATTTCGTATTTCATCCATACCATGTTTTTCAAAGTTGCTCTTAAAATGCAACTGTTCCCTTTCTTTCTAACTAAACTGATGAAAGAGAAGATTGAATCTGTCAGGCAATAAATCACCTTTTTAATCTTGGATCAGTTATTTGAATCATTGTTTGACTGTATTATTGGCCACTGTCTGTTATTATGCTACCCCCCAAAGCCACCAAACATGGAGACTGCTGTCTGAGAGAGCTCCATCCAGGTGGCAAGCCTTTAAAATGAACCTGTGAAGAAGTCTGGGTGTCAGTGGAAACGCTGCCCTGCATAATGTTGTGCACATGGGTAAAATGTTTCCCTGTGGATTAGAACCAGAACTCCATCTGAACCCCTTTTAAAACTGAGCTTCCCGCAGTATCTGTTGCAGCAGGTCTGAAATCAGTTTTGCTACACGTGTTCTGTGGAGAAATCTGGCCATCATTTTCCAAGCTATCAATCTGAGCTCTTTCATGAATACCAAATTCATTTCAAAAGAATCAGATTCAATAAAACAATTTCTGTAGGGGAAGAAACAGTGTTGGGAGAGCAAGTGAAATATGGGTTTGCATTAAATTCCCTTTTTTGTCAGATGATAGGGATGCTTCAGAAGTACTATTGCAAACATTTTAAAAATAAAACCCAATCCTCTAGACCTACATAAAACATTTTTTCTCTAATAAAAGTAGATAAGCATGTGTGTGAGAAAGAGGGAATAAAGCATTACAGGTGAGAGAACACATAAGAGCAATGCTCTGTGTACTAATGCTGAGCCTGTGGGGAAGGAG